GGTTCAACATTCGCAAATCAATAAACATAACCAGCATATAAACAGAACCAAAGACAGAACCACATCATTATCTCAATAGATGCCAGAAAAAGGCTTTGACAAAATTCAACAGCCCTTCTGCTAAAAAGCGCTCAATAAATTCGGTATTGATGGAGCATTGCCTCAAAATAATAAGAGCTTTTTTATTTCTAGAAATGATTTTTGCCTTAGATCTACATTTTCTAATATCAGTATTGCTAAATCAATTGATTTTTGGTCTCTGAGATAATTTTTTTATTCTTTTCTTTACAAATTTTCTGTTCTTTTACATGTTTCAGATAAATATTACAGAGACAGAATAGGTTTTTTTCTTTGCTTTGTATTTATTGTTGTTTGTTTGTTTGTTGTTTTTTTAGTGTAGTGTAAAAAACTTTATGAAGCCAGGCATGATGGGTCATTCTTGCAATCGGCACTTTAGAGGCCTGGATAGGTCGGATGCGCGCTAAACCAAGGGTCAGGTCCAACCTGGCTGCTCCTGCTTCGCTCTATCTCTAAATAAGAAATGTAGGAGTAGTAGTGTGTCTGTAATCTTACACAGAGAAGCTACGAGGCAGGAAAGGAAACACCAAACTAGGGGCGTCATGGTTAGGGCTACAGTGAACTGGCCCCACACTTCAGCATGGTTGATAGTGAGACCCTGTCTAAAATCTTTGGCAAGATTGCATTTATTCTATTTACCTGCTGTATAACTAGTACCTGTTTTGATTACATTCCCACCACCTTACCTTGTACCTTACATTTTCCGTCACATTTGTTTCTTTTTAATCTCCTTTTCTTTGGGTTGATTATAAAACAAATTATTTTTTTCTGTATGTTTATTTTGAAGTTTTATATATTTCACTAACATAGTTATTTTTCTTCACTTATAGTAAGTGATTACCTGAAAGATCATAACATTTGCTAAAGTTTTTACTTTACAACAGTGGCTCAGAGTATTTTGTAGACCCTTGAATGTTCTTTGGATACTTTTCAAGGATCCAGAAAGGTCAAAACTATTTTCATAGTAAAAATGCAGATGCTATTTGCCTCTTGCTCTAATTGTTTCATAGGCATAAAGTGAAAGTTTTCCAGAAGCAAAATGATTTTGCTATCACAGGAGAGTGAATGCGGAAACATATACTAGAAATCATCTGCCTTCTATTAAACCAGTCATTATGTACACTTTTTTCCTGTCTTCACTTATCCCTTTTACTATGCTCTTTGCTGTCTTTGGTTTCTGAAGACACATGCTGGGAGAAGATGCCTCGGTGTGTTTATATTTATCTAGCTTTTGTTTTGTTTGTCTTCTGAATCAAGTGTATTGACTTCTTTTTATCTATTTGTAAAAATTCTTAGCCATCATCTCTTTCAATATATCTTCTGTTCATTCCCTTTCTTTGCTGTGCTTGGGTTGGGACTCAAATTTGAAGTTTTATACTTCTCAGTGTAACACCTTTTTCTCTTGTTCCATATATGTTTTTTCCAAACTTTTGTCTCTCCAATCATCATTCTAGACATTTTTACTGAGCCATCTTTCTATTCACTAATTATTTCTTTAGCTGCTTTTTAATATGTTGTTAAACCCAACTTTATATTTCACTTAAATATTTGTCTAATTTCTAAATGGAACATTTTATAATCTATTATCTCAGATATACCCTTATGAAAGTTTCAATTTTATATCTTATATTCTTATACCTTAGCAAACCTAGGTAAATTAATGCCTGTATTAGAAAATTCCAATATCTGAAATGCCTACATATTCAGTTCTACTATATTTGTTTTTATTCTTCATGTTTTTCTCTGATGTACTTCATGAAGTTTTATTTCATATATTCTTGGTTATTTTTATTCTCTTCCAAGAAACAGTTCTTATGAAAATATATTGACATAAGTAATATTATTGTCATCCAGAAAAAATTTCCATTTTCTTTAGTCAGGAGCCTGAAGAGAATGCCAGGATCATCTTAAACCATTCAAAGCTTGACGTTTTCTGGATCATCTCAATGGCAAATATGAGTTCCAGTCTGGCAAGCGCTTGATGACTCTACCTTAACTTTGTAATTAGGATGCAGACATTTCTGATCTAACTAAAAGCAGAACACATGTTTACTAAGGCCTCCACATGTGGAGGATTCTGGACTTTAACTTTTTGATCCAAACCTGTGAGACTGGCCAGTGTAGCTGATTATCTCATGTGACATTTCTGTGTAGAAAGCACACCTATGGCAAAGGTTGACCCCACATTTGTATTAATGATTAACCTGTCTCAATTTTCATATTACTATAAAATTTTCCTGGTTGTCCTTTAATAAACATGCAAAATATCTACTTGCTTTAAGCATATTCTTTTCCAGTTTCCTAAGGTAACATTAGACGGTAGGTTGTCTATATTCTCTAATATGCAACTACTGGAAGTGTAAACTATAATATCCTTTCATTTTAACTCATGTAATTATTCTTACACATTAAATATATATTAAACTAAGTCATACTTTTCTTTCTGGGATGGTTATCTATCCAGCTTCATTTACTCTTTCAAAACTGTGTTGTTATCTGATCAACTATACCTGGCCATATAAGCAATACAAAATAATCAGCTATTATAGCTGCTTCTTATTATGTTATTATTAACCAGTGAAGTCTCTATGTAATGCATATGTTAATAATCTAAAAGATTACAGAATACATTATATAATTAAAAGAGCAAGGCATCTTGGTTCAAATTCCAATTCTAATTCTAACGTGTATCAAGTTTGATTCATTTGTTAAGCTAATTTATTTGAATCACAATCCCTTAATTTGTTAACTCAGGGACTTTATAGCTCAGAGGCTTATTGTAAGACAAACTGAGATAATGAGATGGTGAATAATCCAATTATTTTAGAGAGTAAACATAATTAATGGAAAGAAGATGGGATCCATGAATAGACGACAGTAATATTTCAAATCCTGCGTTTCAAAGTCTTGCATTGTTATTAGTCAACTGTCACCACATTAATGCTGCACAACAAACCACCCCCTTACGAGCTGTAATACAACAATAAGTATTTCTTTCTTTCTGAAAGTGACCTGATTGTCATTAGCCACCAATTTGGAGCTAGCTGGGCTTGGTCAGGTGTTAAACTGAACTCTGGTCTGTTGCACTTGTTCCTATCCTGGGTATGAGTTTTCATGGTAATGGCAAAAGCACAAGATGCTAAGTAACTTTTACTCGTGATACATTCATGAATATCCTATTGATGATAGAAAGTCTAATGAGCCAAACAAAGAAAAAAATTATCTAGGAGGAGGAGTTAACTCTGCCAACCATAAAGCTAACATAAATTATATGAAGTGGGAAGTATGTCCTCCCACATGGGATTAATGAAGAAAAAGAAACAGAATGCCACGTGAATATGTTGCTAGAAATGTCATACTCATTTATTGTTTATGTATTTGTTTGACTCTCATGAAAATCAGATCATAGAAAGAGAGGAGTGACTCATCTCACCAAATCTTTGGAAATCGATCTGCCTTTATTTAAGCACTAGAGGCTGGGGTGGTTTCAATGCCATTTGACATATGAATACACTAAGCATAGAATTGTATTCATCTAAGATCAGTGATTAAAAGGAGGACATTTATTATTCTCGCCTGTCATACAGAGAGGAGAAGTGTTCCACTGCCCTAGTGGTAATGCCATAAGATGTCTGTCTGATTTAGTTTCTTTACTCACTTCAACATTGTGTATTAAAGCACATTCCCAATTAATAAAATGTCAGCAATTGGTAAACTAGTGTGATGCATCAATGAATTCACTACAAATAAGTCTTTTTATTTCTGTAGAATTGGTAGAGGCGGAAATATAATCCATGGCAGGTTGGATGGCATAAGTATACACTTGATAAATGCTGATGGAAATGTATAAGAAAATTCTAAACAAACAACCCCATCAAAAAAGTAGGCAAAGGATATGAACAGACATTTCTCAAAAAGACGTTTAAGCGCGGCCCGGCGGACGCGTGGTAGCAAGTAAATGCAGTAAATCGGAAGTAGATCAAACCACCAATGAGATGCCATCTCACCGGTTAGAATGATCGTTCGAGTCCGGGAAGCAACGGGTGCTGGAAGGATGTGGAGAAATAGGAACACTTTACACTGTTGGTGGGATTGTAAACTAGTTCAACCATTATGGAAAACAGTATGGCGATTCCTCAAGGATCCAGAACTAGATGTACCATATGACCCAGCCATCCCATTACTGGGTATATACCCAAAGGATTATAAATTATGCTGCTATAAAGACACATGCACACGTATGTTTGTGCAGCACTATTACAATAGCAAAGACTTGGAATCAACCCAAATGTCCATCAGTGACAGATTGGATTAAGAAAATGTGGCACATATACACCATAGTACTATGCAGCCATAAAAAGGATGAGTTTGTGTGTCCTTTGTAGGGACATGGATGCGGCTGAAGCCATCATTCTTAGCAAAGTATCACAAGAACAGAAAACCAAACACCGCATGTTTCTCACTCATGGCGGGCAGAACAATGAGATCACTTGGACTTGGGACGGTGAACATCACACACGGGGGGCCTATCATGGGAGGAAGGGAGGTTGCATTGGGAGTTATACCTGATGTAAATGACGGTTGATGGGTGCAGCACACCAACATGGCACAGAAGTATGTGTACATATGTAACAAACCTACACGTTGTGCACATGTACCCTACAACTTAAAGTTTAATAATAATAAATAAATTTAAAAAAAAAAAAGAAATTCTTATGAGAGGTTTACATTCATTTACTGAAGGTAAATCTGGTTTAGCGTACTTTTTTCATCATTTAATTTGATAATTTTATGTGAGCTTTTAATACTACATGAAAAAATATCTAAAATATTTTTAATATTTACATCTAAACATTTTTTAGGCATAAGATATATTAAAATAAGAAGTTTTTGACAGTTGATTGTATTCCATTTTCTTGCAGATTGTCTACATGGGCTGGTGTGAGCCCGGGAGCAAGACCCGCTTCAGGACAGAGTGTCCCCAACCTTCCTGGCCTAGAGGCTCATGTCTCTACAAGTTTCTGGCACCTCCAGTAAGTGTTTTATGCAAATGTATTGCTCTTTTCCATATTATCACAAAGAGATTGACACTAACTTAACAGTACAAAAATAGTATGCTATCAATATTTTTTAAAAATAATATGAAAAAATAGAAATCAGTTTATCTGATTTAACTTACTAAAAACATATGTTCTGGTATTACACATTTACTTTATCACCCTTGAAAAAGTCTGGAACTTACTTCTTTATAAATAGTGAACCTATAAAATAAATGGATCAAATATAATGCCATTAAAAATCTCATGAAGACATGGGAAAGGAGATTTTAAGAAACATTTTCAAGCATATGTCAGTGTATTTTGTTTATTGAATATAATTTAAAGAAATGAATATACCAAAAGTGAAATTAAAAAGAGTAAACTGTTTTAGAGCTATACATGAATGAACATGTTTACTAAACTCTTATTTTCAAAGGATCTTTTGAAAGTTCTTTTAAATTTATTCAGCACTTTTAATTACTAGTAATTTATTATTAGCAAAGAGTAATAAGGAAATCTCAAAATGATAGCACCTTATCTAGCTACTATTAGAGTCTATCTCACCACAGTGGTATTATAAGATGATGTAAACTCTCATGGTGTTCAAGTTTAAATTAAGAGGATTCCATCCTTAGCAAACATCATAAATACATTCTGGTAAGCTGTCATTTATGACAGTCAAACTATGTTTATCTATGTTGTACTGGTCTCTCTAAATAAAATCAATAGCATTTTCATCCTCTATTATATTCTATATCCTAGTTATTGAGATTTGTACTAGATTTGTGTAGATACCTATTGCACCTCAAGTCTTCCTTTTGGAAATATGTACCTTGTAGCTCAGAAGACACTTAATAAATATTTATTGAATATAAATACCAAATACCCGACCAGTCACTTGCAGGTCTAATAATACATAGGATTTAAGCTCGTCCAGGTCTGACTTGCTGCTGTTTTAAATGTCTGTCTTTAAATAGTTTAAAGCACTAGGAAGACAGAGGAAAAATTAATATTTATATATTTTACTCTATTCCTACTCTGAATAATTTATTTGACAGGCAGTTAAATATATATTTAACCTAAGTAAGTGAAATAACTTTGCATTATGCTTTTTGATATGTTTGCAATGTCACAGTCATCTTGAAATTTCTTAATATAAATGATGTATATTTAAAAAATTAGAGCTGTGTTGAGATCTAGTATTCTCTGTATTTAACTAGTGGTAGAGTGCGAAAAAATTATGAGTGCGGAATGTAGAAATACTTAGTATTTATAGAGTGAGAGAATACATACATTATTTAAGACACATAAGGACACGGCACAAATGAGAACTGTTGCACATAGCATAAATCGTTTGCTGAAAGCATAAGACAAATGGTGATAAAGCGTGGAATAGAGGAAACAAAAGCATTATGTAGGGTCCTTTATGAGCATAACTTCACAGATGAGAGACTAAGTAGATACATCTGTGAAAATTTTTCTTATTTTTCACTATATTATGCAAATCAAATACAGTGGTAAATAACTTTCTAAAACAAATTAAACATTATTTTCTTATCTCTTAAAGGTGACCACCTGGGACTGGACGGAAACAGAGAAAACATTCTCAGTTTATGAGATTATGTGCAAGATCCTCAAGGTATGATCAATAAGTAGTCAGTATTTGAATGACTTTTCCTCAGCAAATAGTGCCTCTGGGCTCATATTGTTAGCTCATGAAAGCAAATGATTCATGGAATGAAAGAAGAGAGACAAGATAAATAAAAATGATAGAAAGAAAATAAACTAGACAAAAACGAAAATATGGAATGCACAGAAGTGCACATGGCACTCAACTATCTGCTTAAATAACTTGTGAGCAGACTCTGCAGTCCTGCATGGGTGAGGAATAGGAAGAAGCTCCTCAGGAGTTCACTGGGGAAGAAAATTCAGTTGAAAGTAGTCTAAATTTAAATGTCGGTTGTTACCATGCTTTTTTTTTTTTTTTTAATTCTTCTTTTTCTGAATAAAATGCAAAGAGAAAGATTTGGGTAAGACTTGGAAATCGAAAATGTAGAAAATATCAAGAAAAATGCAAAGAAAAGTTTTGCTCTTTTGTTCTTAATCTCATGGCTTGATCATCTTTTTGCATATGTAAAGAACATTCGGTGTCATATATGAGTTGAATTTCTGCCATATGCAGGATTAATGCAATAGCAAGCCATCACAAATTCTGTAAAATGTCTTATGGTTTCTATAGGGCGTTTTTAAAGAATTAAAATTGAAATAACCTATAAAACATGAAGACTTTCTACTTTCTTCACTTTCTACTTTAGGGTTTGTAGGCTTGGACTCACCACAGATTGATAATTCAATTCCTGCATAAGGTTGACTTTGTTTCTGTACCCAAGGAAACTGACTTCCCTTTGTTTTATGTTAACTATTTATCTTCCTGTTAAAGGCTGCAGAATAAACAAATGCTGAAACATTTAAAATACAATAAAATGCATCAAAAAAGTGTCTGAAGGCAGAGAGACAAAATTATAATTACCTCCAAAGTATTCATTGTTTCTGTTTCATAGAGAACTTTGGATTAAAGCAGGATTCTCTGAAGTGCAAAATCCAACTAAGAATAGAGTTCATCGATTGCTCATCAGTGTGCATGCTTTGAGTTCTTTGTAGAGGCGTAATGGTGGAGGGACAACGTAAGAAATGCTTGAGTGTATTGTTAGTAAATAATGGTCTGACAGTTTCTTAAACAGGTGCTAGTATCTGAGGGAAAAGGAGATCATACCCAACTCCAGTTTTCTGGAAACAATTGCCAAAATGGCTAATCGATAGCTTTTTTTGGATATGGAGTCTTGCTCGGTCACCCAGGCTGGAGTGCAGTGGCGTGATCTTGGCTCACTGCAACCCCCAGCTCGCGGATTCAAGCAATTCTCCTGCCTCAACCTCCTGAGTAGCTGGGACTACAGGCGCATGCCACCATGCCCAGCTAATTTTTTTTTTTTTAATTTTAGTAGAGATGGGTTTCACCGTTGCTCTAGCTGGTCTTGAACTCCTGAGCTCAGGCAATCCACCCACCTCGCTCTCCCAAAGTGTTAGGATTACAGGCGTGAACAGCGTACCCGACCAACTGTGTATTTTTTAGCAAGAAGCTACTCATATAATTAGAATAAGAAAAGAAAGAAGGAAAGAAAGAAAAGAAAAGAAGGAAAGAAAGGAAGGAAGGAAGGAAGGGAGGAAGGGAGAAGGGAGGGAAGGAAGGAAGGAAGGAAGGAAGGAAGGAAGAAAGGAAGGGAGGAAGGGAGGAAGGGAGGAAGGGAGGAAGGGAGGGAAGGGAGGAAGAGGGAGGAAGGGAGGAAGGGAGGAAGGGAGGAAGGGAGGAAGGGAGGAAGGGAGGAAGGGAGGAAGGGAGGAAGAAAGGAAGGAAAGGAGGAAGGAAGGAGAAAGAAAGAAAGAAAGAAAGAAAGAAAGAGAGAGAGAGAGAGAGAGAGAGAAAGAAAGAAAGAAAGAAAGAAAGAAAGAAAGAAAGAAAGAAAGAAAGAAAGAAAGAAAGAAAGAAAGAAAGAGAGAGAGAAAGAGAAAAGGGGAGGAGGGGCAGGGAAGGCATGGAGGGGAGGAAGGAAAGGAAGGGAGGGAGGGAGGGAAGGAGGAAGGAAGGAAGGAAGGAAGGAAGGAAGGAAGGAAGGAAAGAAGGAAGGAAGGAAAAAGAAAACTGCCTCAACAAATCAACTTTGTCTCTTCTCTATCTGTACACTAATATAACTTTTCTCATAGTAATAATGCAACACATTTTATATATTCTTACTTAGACTTAAATTATTTTCTAACCACTCTCCAAGTAGCTACATGATCTTTAAAATCCTCTCTTTAAAAATAGCCATTTAAACATTAGAACATAATGCAGTTTATTATAATAGTTAAAAAAGATAATTTCAAAGGAAACAATAAACATTATGTTTAGCTCTATCAACATATACAAACACTCAATATTTTATATCTCTTTGTTATAATTTTTGACAACGTTAAGATTATGCAATTCGTGATCTTTTTTTTTGTATACAAATATGTCTTGAGATTTTTTTTCTGTGGCAGTTAATGTTCCTCAAAAAAACCGATAACTTTTTGATAGATTTTATCTATTCCATCATTTGCCCATACTCATTGAGTCCACTTTAAAATTTTACATTTAGTTTTTTGCCCGCACTTGTTTCTTGCTATCAGGCATGTCACAACAATCATTATCTGAATGATTTAATAGGAAATTAAATGTTTGCTGTGTACCAGGTAACCTCAGTACTTGTTATGTGGCTGAGAAAAACGCAGAAAAAGCTACTGCTTTCATTGCACTTGCATTTTATTAAGTGGTATGATGTTAAGTAAATCAGTAAAGAAGACAAAAATAGTAAGTAAATAAATGAGGCAAAATAATAATATGTAGGAAGGACTGATGTTTGCTCAGAGACTTGTATGCAAAGTCTTATTTCCTTTATTCTAAATTCTGAGCTTTGGGAATCCTGTGTGGAAAAATATTTTAACATATTCAAGATATTAAATCCATGTGTCCAAATTGTCTCCTACAAAAGTCACCCTAACTTATGTTGCCATCAGAAGTGTCTAGGAGAGTGCCTGTGTATTTATATTCTGACCAAATTAAAATCAAAGACTACTTCTCATTTTAACTTTCTATATAAAATTTTCTATAAGCCTTAGTTTACTTGAATTTTTTAAAATACTTTAAGTTCTGGGATATAGGTGCACAACGTGCAGGTTTTTTACATAGGTACACATGTACCATGGTGGTTTGCTGCACCTATCCACCCATCATCTAGGTTTTAGGCCCTGCATATATTAGATATTTGTCCTAATGCTCTCTCTCCCCTCGCCCCCAACCCCCCAACAGGCCCCGGTGTGTGATGTTCTACTTGGGAAAATGTTTACATAGGTTAGTGAGGCCTGGAGATAAGTATTCTCAGACATCAAATACAATGTAAATCTACCTTCAGTTGTTGTTTGTGATTAAGGAAGTCCCCTTCCATTAGTAAGTACAATGCTGGTGCTTTATGCTTTGTGGCTTGACATTAGACATATAAAACGATCCATTAAGCATCCCTTTTCCCAAAGGAAAATTTCATGTAGCATAAGAACAGAGGAGTGGCTACTAGATTCAATGCTCAATGGATTATTTTCCTGCATGCAGATTACATTCTGCCCCTCTTCTGTTTCAGGATCACTGGTTGGAAAATAGTGCTTGATAAGGAAGCCAGTCAGATAGGTGGGGCTGGTGAGCAAATCAGAAGGGGCGTCTTCTACAGCCCAGCCCTCTCTTGCCATGAGGTACCAGTTCTGATGCAATCTGTGCAAGTTGTAGACTCTGCCTCCAGAAAGGGATCCCTCAGATGAGGCTAATTAAAAGTCAGATTTGAATATCTGGATCACAGAAGAACTGGCCTGTGACCATTAATCAGGAAAATCCTGTCCCTTCTGATGTGTTGATAATGAAGCTATGCCAGTAATAACAAAAATGAAACAATAAGGTTGATCTGGTATATACAGCTTATATGTATATGCCAGGTATTGTCCTAAGTGCTTAGGATATGAATTCAGTTTATATTTACAGCACCACTATCTGTCAGTTATTGTTATTCACATTTTAGAGATTTAGAAACTGAGGCAAAAACCAGTAGAAGTAAATAGCCTAAGGCCACATAGCTAGTAAATATCAGAGCCAAAGATATGAATCTTGCAGTGTCTCAAAATTCTGTGCTCTTGCACATGATACTACACTGTTTCTGTCTCTCAGTGTAAATATTGATAATTTGGGGGGAAAAAATGGGAGCCAGAGAGCCGGCCTGGTACTGATGAGAGAGCAAAGGTTTCAGAAAAAGAGGAACTTGGCAACAAATGCCACTTCTATTGCTAAAACATTACCCTTTATGAGTGTATTGGGCACTACGAACTTCAGTTCTTCATCTGTGAAATGCAGCTATTGATGCAGAGGGTGCGGTGAAGATTAGCAATTGGTTAACTGATTTGTGAATGCATTTTTGTCTGTTAATTCATATTATAGTTACTTCGAGTACCTTCTATGTGCCAAGCACTCCACTAGGTATTAAGGATCAATACAACAGTACAAGAGAGTTGAACTCACAAGAATTCCAGGTGATGAAGGAGTTTAGGAAGGGCGTTTTGGAGGAGAACTTTAATGAACGGAAACCTAAGTGACTGTGAAAGGGCTCCACAGAGGACCATGTGTCATGGGAGGGGTTGGAGTTCAGCCAGTAGGAAGGGAAGAGCAACCTGACACAAAGAATAATGTGTAAACGTGCCCAGAGCTACAAAGAAGTGTGTGTCCTTTCAGCAATGCAAACACGTTGGGTATGAGCTTGCTGTTAGTGTTTGCATGGAACAGATCATAGGAAAAGGCCTTAATAAAGCACATGAACTTTATCTGAGGAACAAAGGACAGCCACTAAAACATGTCAAGCATGGGGAGGGACTGAGCTTGCCCATTTAAAAATCCTCCTCAAATGCAACGTGAGATGGAGTTGAAGGGGTTGGAGGGGAGTGCTCCTGGGGCATCTTCTGGTCAACAAGGGCGTGGACAGCGAGCTAGGAAGAGTGAGGCAGAGGAGTCGGGCCTGAACAGATAGTGCC